AGCCTTGAACTGAAGAGCTGAGGGACAGTGCCCAGGCCCAGAGTTCAGGCCCCACGACCGGACCCAAAAAAAAAAAAAAAAGAAGCTAGAGGGAATGGCATGGATGGGGTTGTGGGAGGTAGGAAGGCTGAGACCCAGAATGAAAATTTCAGCTCTGCCATGAGGCATATGGTCTAGGCGCTCTACTTAGGTCTCCTTGCCTCAGTTTATAATTCTAAAATGATGATAGGCTGGGGGCTGGTGGCTCACGCCTGTAATCCTAGCTACTCAAGAGGCTGAGATCTGAGGATCACAGTTCAAAGCCAGCCCGGGCAGGAAAGTCTGTGAGACTTTTATCTACAATAAAACCACTAGATAACTGGAAGTGGCCCTGTGGCTCAAGCGGTAGAGCGCTCGCCTTGAGCTGCAGAGCTGAGGGACAGTGCCCAAGCCCAGAGTTCAAGCACCACTACTGACCAAAAAATAAAAAATAAAAAATAAAATGATGATAGTAGTATTTTTATATAAAGGGTTTATTACTATGAATGACTCTTATTTTTATTTTTTATTTTTTGAGTCCGGTCGTGGGGCCTGAACTCTGGGCCTGGACGCTGTCCCTCAGCTCTTCAGCTCAAGGCTAATGCTCTACCATTTGAGCCACAGCGCCACTTCCGGCTTTTTTCTTTTTGCTTATGTGGTGCTGAAGAATCGAACCCAGGGCCTCAGAGGCATGCAAGGCAAGCGCTCTACCACTGAGCCATCTTCCCAGCCCTATGAATGACTCTTAAATGTGCATTCCATGTTGTTAAAATTCATCCCTGGCCCAAATTACATATCTCCTTTGAACAATTGTTTAAAGAATTAGAGGTAATGTGTCTAGTTACAGTAAATGACTTTTGATATTGCCATACCAGAGAAGTTGGTCAGAATATACCAAAGAATTAAGGAAAAATATAGCCAGAACCAGCACTTAACAAGTGTGAGGAAAGTGTACAAAGGGTATAAGAAAGAAAGTGTTGAAGGAAAAACTAGGGAAGGGCAGAGACTCAGATACTCAGGGGCAAGGAAGAGCTAAAAAGGTATAAGGTCCGCTCCTGGATGGCAAGCAGACTCCACCCTCCTTGCAGCAAAGTCTCCACCCAGTACCTGCGTTACCTAGGCAACTGAGACACCTGGAAGAGGTCACATCTGCATCTGCTGAGGTCACATCTGAATTTGATGTGGCCACACCTTTCCCCGCCCATACCCTAGATAAGGCCTAGCACAGGCTCAGGCTCTCTCTCTCTGTTCTATTCTAGCTCTCTCTCTCTCTGTTCTTACCTCTCTCTCTGTTCTATTCTAGCTCTCTTTCTGTTCCTTTCTAGCTCTCTCTGCTACCTAGCTCTCTCTCTCTGTTTTATTCCTCTTTCTCTCTCTGTTCCTCTCTGTCTCTCTTGCTGCTCTTTTCTAGCTCTCTCTGCTCCCTCTCTCTTTCCTCTTTCCCAGCTCTCTCTCTTTCCCAGGCCTTTCCCATCTACGTGGAGTGCCACCCTTGCTTGGTCCCAGCAGGTCTACTGAATAAACCTACCCCTTACCTGAATACCACGTGAGTGCTACTGTTCTTACCCCTCTCTCTGCTCTTTTCTAGCTCTTTCCTCTCTTTCCCAGCTCTCTCTCTTTCCCAGGCCTTTCCCAGCCACGTGGAGTGCCAACCTTGCCTGGTCCCAGCAGGTCTACTGAATAAACCTACCCCTTACCTGAATACCACGTGCGTGCTGGTTCTGTTCTTACTCGGCTACCTCTTTTTAAAAACCTAACAAAAGGGAGTCAAAAAAATGTGTTAAATATCAGAGAAGCTATATAAATTAGGGTCATTGGATTTGCTCATTATGAAGCCAGTGATGACCTTAGGATGCAGTTTCAGGAAAATAGGGATGGCAATGACTTCTGGGTAGAATGAATCAGGCTGAGATGAGAGTAGAGGAGATACACACACACACTCACACACACACACACACACACACACACACACATACACACACACACACAGTCACACACACACACACACACACACACACACATTCACACACACACACACACACACACACACACACAATGTTAGTCACACATTTTCCTTTAAGTCAAAGGAATGGTTTTGACATTTCAAATGAACTGTATTTGTTATCTCTATTGAATTAAGGATTTGACCAGAGGGGTGAACATTTTAGATTGCTCTTAAATTCACATTAAATATTTTATTTATTTATTTACTTATTTTTTGGTCAGTCGTGGGGCCTGAACTCTGGGCCTGGGCACTGTCCCTCAGCTCTTCAGCTCAAGGCTAGTTAGTGCTCTACCACTGAACCACAGCGTCACTTCTGGCTTTTTTCTGTTTTATGTGGTGTGGAGGAATCAAACCCAGGGCCTCATGCACGCAAGGCAAGCACTATACCACTGAACCAAATCTCTTTCCATTTTTGTCACCTAATTTTGGGATAGAAATATTTTTCATGGGGCTGGGAAGGTGGCTCAGAGGTAGAGCACTAGCCTTGAGTTGAAGAGCTGAGGGACAGAGCCCAGGCCCAGAGTTCATGCCCCATGACCGGACCCCCCCCACACACACACAAAACAACCAGAAATATTTTTCACAATTGTCCCCATATCCCACCAGGTTGCCACTGAATTATTGGATTAAGTTACCTTGCTTACCAAAGAGAAACACTTACCTCTTCTAAGAGTCTTCCTTTGTAGCTTGGCCACATTTACTAACACAGAGTTAAGGGTAATATCTAGACATTATCAAAAGGGACAATAGGGAGAACAGATTCAGATTAGAGCCAAGTTCGAGATAGAAAGGTTAAAGGGAGGTTAGGAATATGGCTCAGTGGTAGAGTGCTTGCCTAGCATGCATGAAGCACTGGGTTCCATTCCTCAGTACCACATAAACAGAAAAAGTCAGAAGTAGCGCTGTGACTCGAATGGTAGAGTGCTAGCCTTGAGCACAAAAGAAGTTCAGGGACAGTGCCCAGGCGCTAAGTTCAAGCCCCAAGACTGGCAAAAAAAAGAAGAGGAAGAAGAAGAAAGGTTAAAGGGACAGTAAATTCACTAAATTCACATTCCCTCTGCCATTTCAACCAAATCCTATGAATGTTTGCAAAGAGCTGTCTGTCACAGTTTCTATTTCTAAAGTTTCTTCAATTTCTTCTTAATATTAAAGGGTTAAATGATTCCTTACATCAATAAGATTCTGTCATTTCCCAGCTCAAAAACACATACATCCTGCATGCTCTGGCTTCAATCTATCTTTACATCAGGCCACAAAGATCCTCAGTCCTCAAGTTCCATCACACTTTAGCCAGTCAAGCATTTTCCTGTGTGAGAGCCCAAAAAGCAGAGCTGTGAGATCCGAAAGGACCGGGAGTTTGGAAGACCTTCTCCCAAAACACTCTCAGAGCACTGAGAGTTTCCTGGAAAGGTCAATCAGGCCTGGCTTCACAGGAATTCAGATTTCTATCCTGGGTGTGGACTAATTCCACTCTAAACTTCTTGGGAGCTTGTGGGTAGACTAAGTTTTATGTAAATTGTAAGCTATTTACTGGCTCCCATTCTCAAGATAAGGAAGTGGTCTAGCACAAAGTATTGTCACAAGTCCCTGTTTGTACCTTACTTTCTGCACAAACTTTCCTAGAAGAAAGCAATAAAAACCTTGGTGAATGGAAACCTGGGATCTGAAGCTGGCGGAAGGCTACAGGTCCCCTGGTACTCGGAATCTCCATTTCCGGACCTGTCTCCCTTATTGCCTTGCTCCCGGTAAAGGTGGGTTAAGGGGCAGGTGGTGGTGTGCACCGTAACCGTTCCCTGTTGGAGCTCTGAGCGAGCTGCAGATCTTCCATCTTACCCAGGCACCCATTTCCAACAATCAAATCTATTTATTGGATGGTCTCCCTGCTGCAATCCCTACACCAGGGGAAAGGTAATGCAGGATGGTGAGGGCCTATGCTTTCGATGGGCTTGGGTGTACATCCCAGGACCACATTTACTCTATAATCTTGGCTAACGTGCCCACTTTGTTTTCTACCTACGATTTGGGGGATGCTAGAAGATTTTGAGGATTCATTTTGTTAACAGATAGTAAGCACTCACTCCACTTGGGCAGGCATATGGCTGCCAAGTTTGAGCCGGTCACTTTTGGCAAACTGCCTACCTCACCCTCCCCGGCTCACATCCTCTCGGTTAATACACTGTATTGGTTGAGCACTGTAAATGAATGAACAGGGCACATGCTGAAGGAGGCTGGCCCATCCGAGCTTAGAAAAGGCCACGGTGGTGTGCTTCTTGGACAAGAAGGCATGATCTAAGTGCCGAACGCACACGGAACGAGTTTTAGAGAAGGGAATCTAAGAGATGTAGTCCAGCCCAGTGTAACCACAGGGGTCTCTGAGGATTGGGAATGTGGCTTAGTGTGCTTGCCTAGCATGTATGAAGCCCTGGGCTCCATTCCTCAGTACCAATCAACAGAAAAAGCTGGAAGTGGTACTATGACTCAAGTGGTAGAGTGCTGGCCTTGAGCAAAAGCAGCTCAGGGACAGTGCCCAGGCCCTGAGTTCAAGCGCCAGGATTGGCAAAAAACAAAAAAAAAAACGAGAGAGAGAGAGACAGACAAGACAGGACAGACAGACAGACAGGACAGACAGACAGAGAGACACGGCAGGCAGGCCAGAGAGAGCCAGATCCACCAGTGGGTTCCTGGTTCCAAGTAGGATGTAGTGCCCTGAATCAAACCCTGTCCCGCCACAGCCAAGCCACAGCAGGACCAGAGTCAGCCCGCAGCCAATGGCCTGATCGGTCCCCCTGAGATTTCCTGACGATTGGCTGTCGGTCAGTGGTCTCTTCCTGACTCCGCCCAAGCCGAGTCTTACCGAGGATTGGCTGCTCTCCCCGCGGTCCTCCCTCTCATCCCGCCCCTTGCCGAGCTGTCCGGTGATTGGCTGTCCGGCGCTCTGGGGTTCATCCCTGCCCCACCCGGCTGTCCTAGTCTCTGCGCCGCGCTCAGGCCACCGGCCTTTTAGCCCTGCGCTTCTGTCGTGTGCGATCGCAAGGTCTGATCTGCGGGGATGGCTTCCTGGGAGGCTGGGGTAAGAGGCCTGGATTCGCCCCGCGTCCCCTCGAGCTTTGCCCGCCTGGAGCTCCGCTGCTCCTGGCGGCCAGAACGGAGGGGTAGAGCAGTTCTCGGCGGCCCGGGGGTCGGGCGGCCGTGCCCGGCCCGGGGCTGCGCGAGACACACGCCGCGCCCAGCGCCCTGGCTGGTTCCAGGTCTGGAGCTGGGGAGACAGCACCGCGCCCAGGGCCCCGGGTGGTCCCCGGTAACAAGTCTGCGCTTTACCTCCCCAGGGCCGGCCCTCCAGAACCCCAACCCCGGCGGACCTTGCACCCCTGGAGTCGGTCTCTAGCCTCCTAAAGATGCAGCTGCCTGATTCCGACTGCAGGTACGTCCCTTGCCTTTGAGGGAAATGACAAAGCCAGGCCGGGAGCATGTGGCCCCGGGCAGGCAAGGCCGGGGGTGGGGGGCGGGGAGCGGTGTCTGCTGCTGGCTCGCAGTGATCGATTCAAAGGATTGCCCGGCTTGTTAAAACGGCTGAGATTCGCGAGGTCTGTCTAGAAAGCACAAAACTTCTCAAGCCGCCCTTTCCTGTGCCCTTTTAAGGTTGACCCGTGTCTTAAGAGGCTAACACAGAAGGGTAAATGAAATCTCCATAAAACCCAGAGATGAGGCAGTAAAACTCCTCTTTGGATCCTGTCTGGAGTTACAACTGAATCAAGAAAACCACAGTTGCAACATATTTCTACTGTTTATAAAGAAGGGGATACATTGAAGCTTTTGCTTTGTAGACTTTCGTGTTTTGAAGCAGGGAAATGTAGACGTTTAGGGTATTTGGAGGAAAATCTAGAACACACGTACATAATAAGGCCTTAGCGGTAAAGCATGAACAGCAACTGAAAACATAGCTCTGCGTTTTTAATGCTTAAAATAATTTTCATTCGTAGGTTGAAAACACAAGCCACAGAATGCTAAGATGCTGGGATTCCTACGGTTCCAACTGGATTACACATACCATTACAATAAGAACATGCAGCAAATAAGGTGGTATACTAGACATGTACTGTTCAGGACAATGTACTGCCAGGACCATGTTCAGCGTCCATGTACTGTTCAGGACAATGCTGATGGTGGCAGGGACACATGGCATTTGCTCCAAGTACTCCTTTTATTTATTTAACTCAGTTCTTCAGGTAGGTACAATGATCTCATTACAGAATGTGCAGTGGTTTAGGGCCTTATATTTATCCAACTTGGTTGCTATGTGATTAATGGAATCCCTTAAGATTCCATATCCTGATAAAACAGCAAGAACTAAACAGGTTAGTCTACTTTTGATTGGCAAGGAAGAGCTGTTAAGAATCAAAGCTCTGGCCAGGCACCAGTGGCTCATGCCTGTGATCCTAGCTACTCGGGCCTGAGAACAGGATTGTGGTTCAAAGCCAGCCCGGGCAGGAAAGTTTGTGAGACTCAGAAAACCACAACCCCAAGTGCTGCTGTGGCTCAAGTGCTAACCTAGAGCTGAAGAGCTCAGGGACAGCGCCCAGAGTAAAAGCCCCGAGACTGACAAAAAAAGAATCTAAGCTCTTTGTGGTTTTTAATTGAGTCTAGTTTTTAGCTAGAGCTCTTGGCAAGCAAGGGCCCTGAGTTCAGTGTGTAAGTAGTGAAATCAGGTATAAAGGAAACAAATAGGTAACCACTACTTGAGCCACAGTGCCCACTTCAGCTTTTTTTGGTTTATTTTGTACTGAGGAATCAATCCAGGGTCTCATTCGAGGCAAGCGCTCTACCACTGAGCTACCTTCCCAGCCCCTCCAGGGAGAATTTTAAGTGAGACCTAAGGTTCCCTCAAAGAGAAGTAGATTTCACACAGGAAACAGCCATGTGAAGACAAACTGGACACAGTAGTTTGTGTTTCCTAAGGGACTATGCACTTCATGAGAGCCAGTAAACCAAAACATTTCTATTTCAAGTGGCAATTTATTGTAGCAATGCTTCCCACACTTAATGTGGTGGGGTGGGAGAAATAAGGCAGTTGAAGTTTTTAGATTTAAGACCTAAAATGCAAAAACAAGAGCCCTTTGAGTCAATTTTTTTTTTATTCTTAAAATTTTTTATTTATATAGTTTAAGGTACCACTTTAAAAATAATGTACGCTGCTCTCTAGGCCATACAGCTTGACCAAGAACTAAAGTACTACCATTTGTCCATAAATAAGTTGTCTCACTAGGTTTATATCCTAAGGAGTGTTTATATTCTGAAAAAGATGGTATGTTTCCTCTGACATGTAGAAATTAGATATAGAATGCACAGGGATATGAACTATATAGAATTATAGATAACAGTGAGACTAAAAGGATACAGAGAAAGGCACAATGCCTAAGTGCCTCTTCATATTTACATAAAGTGATGTACATACTGAAACAAACTTCAAGTTGTGTGAATAAAAGGCTTATTTTTCTTTCTGGGTGTTTTTTCCTTGATTCTATAACTTCAGGAGGGTACAGAACTGGGAAAGATGAAAAAGTGCAGCTGTGGAGCTCACTGTCCATTGACAGATTGGGGGCACAGAAGAAAAAGGAAATATGCCCATTACCTGACGTAATTGTAATCCCTCTGAACATCACCTCTATAATTTTTTTGTTGTTGTAAAGGTGATGTACAGAGTGGTCACAGTTACATAAGTCTTCTCAGCACCCGCTATCAGGCTGCCTTAAAAACGGGTAAGGAGATGGGCAAGGAACAACTAACACTACAATAAGGACATTGCATACAGAAGTCTCATGTAGCATAGTTTAGACATGCCCTTGGCTCCAGTACTGGGGTTCCAGCCCTTTTGCTTTGGTTAGTTTTCAGGTTGATCTTTTTTTTTTTTTTTTGGCTCCGGTCGTGGGGCCTGAACTCTGCGCCTGGGCGCTGTTCTTCAGCTCAAGGCTAGCGTTCTTCCACTTGAGCCACAGCTCCACTTCTGGCTTTCTTTTTTGCTTATGTGGTGCTGAGGAATCGAACCCAGGGCCTCAGGCATGCAAGGCAAGCGCTCTACCACTGAGCCACCTTCCCAGCCCCTCAGGTTGATCTTGAGTCTTTGCCTGGGGCCATTCTCAAACCCCTACCAGAGTTGGAGTTAGACACCCCATACACCTGGCTCGCTGGTGAGATCTGCCCAGCTGGTCTCTGCTGCTTCTGCCCATGCCTTCCAAGAAGCTGAGATGAGAGCTACCATACTCCCAACCGTTTTTTGAGGGACCCCCCCCCCTCAACTTTTTTCCCCATGACACCATTTTTACTTTTACCCAGGGATGGCATGGTTCCAGTCTTTCCCTTGCTATTTTCTCTGGTCTGTACGAATCCCTATAATGTTTAGGCATGTTGCTTTGCCAAGAGCAGGAAGTGGATGTGTGCTGACCTGTTCCCTGGGGGCTGGCATCAGCACTGGGAGCTAGCAGTAGGGGAAGCCGGGCCCACGCCACACCGTGAACATTACCACGGGCCCACGCCATAATCCCCTTCCCTGAGCCTCCTTGGGTTCTACACTAGCGCCCTACCACTTAACCCAGAGCCCCTCCATCTAGGTTCAGAGGCCTCTGTCCAGGCCCTGGGGTTCTCGCCCCAGGGGCGCTGTGGCCCAGGCTCTAGACCCCAGACAGGGATCCGAGGAGTGGCGGCTCCGTTCCCCGCTCGTCAGACGCCCCCCAGCCCAGCGCCACCTCGATCCCCGTCCTCTGACCTGTGGGTCTCAAAGGAGGCGTTTTGGAGAGCGAGTCCATATACAGAAACGGTATGGAGACCTGTACTGTCGCGAGAGGTCAGGCACGCCCCCCACGGGCTACGAGAACTGAGCTACGTCTGCCAATCACCAAGTGGGGGCGTTTCTCGGCGCTTATTGGTTCATCTCGGGCCCTGCCCCGCGTCGGAATCCCCGCCCTCCCCGTGGCCCCACCCACTCCTGTGGCTACAGCCCTGGCTGACAGGAGGTGAGGAAACCACAGCCCTGGCATCTGGTTTTTCCAGTTCCGGGAACTGGAACTGCAGCCTCCAGAAGAGCCCCAGCTCCTCACCCGCCGCACCTGGGGCCCGTTGCTCGTCCAGATCTTACCTTTACTCATGCTACCCGATCCTCTACCCTCACCAGTTCCTAAACTGGGAGATGGTCTCCCTTCACATATTAAATCATCAAAACAGTGCCCAAGTAGTTATAGCTACTGTTAATATTCCCATTTTTTTCAAGCAGGAAAAGGAGGCGGGGATTTCCTAATGTTAGTCTTATTGTATGGCTTTCTAAAATACCTACCATGCTGTTGTTTTAATCACTGTTGCTTTTGTCTTAATTCAAACCTCTCATTGTTTGCTTGGATTACTTCTACAGTCTGGTAACTCCTCACCGGTCAAACTCTGGTAATCTTCCTAATGTAAATCCGATCATGTCTCAAATCCCCCTCCAGTCTCTTAATGTCAAGCTCTTCTGTTTCACCTTATGGCTTACAGGTTCTACTAGCCAAGACTGCTTTTTAATTAAAGTACCTTACGCTGCAGTTAATAAGTACCCCCGTTATCAATGCACAGTCTGTCAAAATGTCACAAACTATCATACACAACACAATCAGAGCAACCTCAAATAAAGACCCTAACTAGCATCTTAGTTCAGGCACTAATTGCTCTTCTCTACCCAAGGGTGACAACTACCCTGACTTTTAAAGCCCTTTAAAGTAGTGTTAAAGTAGTGTAGATAATATTATATTAATTAATATACTATTAATTAGCATTTATATTAGTATTAATATATTACATATATAAATATACTCAGTCCTGGGGCTTCAGTTTAGGGCCTGGGCACTGTCCTTGAGCTTCTTTTGCTCAAAGCTATTACTCTACCACTTGAGCCATCACTTCCAGCCTTTTCTGTTTCTATAGTACTGAGGAATCAAACCCAGTGCTTTATGCATGCTAGGCAAGCACTCTACCACTAAGCCATATTCCCAGCCCACCATTAATATTTTATAAAATTTGCTTTATGATATTTCTGTCCTTTCCTGTATCAGTTATTATATTTCAAAGTAAATAGCAATACATATTTATTCCTCTAAATTCAGCATGCACATCATTAAGGATGATGGTTTCTTTTGATATTCAGTGCATATGAAATATACAAATCTTCAGCATACACCTATGAGTTCTGGCAAATGCATTTGTTTGTGTAACCCAAACTTCTTATGTATATGTTATATTATCACCCTGGGAAATCCTTCATTTTCCCTCTCATTTCCACTTTCCAAAGGATAACTCACATACTGAGGCAACCGTCCCTTCACAATAGGTCAGTTTGCCTATTTCATTTAAGTGGAATCACAAATATGTGCTGAGGAATCGAACCCAGGGCCTCATGCATGCAAGGCAAGTGCTCTACCACTGAGCCACCTTCCCAGCCCCTTAGCACATTTTTAAGTATACAAAATAGCACTGTTGTCTATTTGGAATATGAAAATGTATTCTTTGTCATAGAGAGAGAGAGAGAGAGGGGAGATAATCTCTTGTTCTAGGATCCTTTTTGTTTTATTAATGTCATTTGAGGAACAACTTTTCTAATTTAAAAATAATCCAGGGCTGGGAAGGTGGCTCAGTGGTAGAGTGCTTGCCTTGCATGCATGAGGCCCTGGGTTTGATTCCTCAGCACCCCATAAGCAGAAAAAGCTGGAAGTGGCTCAAGTGGTAGAGCACTAGCCTTGAGCTGAAGAGCTGAGTGACAGCACCCAAGCCCAAAGTTCAGGTCCCACCACCAACAAAATAAATAAATAAATTAATTAAATTAAATAAAAATAATACACTTTATTCATTTTACTGTCAGTACTTTTTGCTTTATTTAATAAATGTTATTTAATAAATCTCTGACTACTCCAAGTAATAAACATTCCTGCTATATTTTCCTCTAAAAGCTTTTTTTTCTTAGTTTGCTCATTTAGATCTTCCATCCATTTGGAATTGATGGTGGTGAATGGTAAGAAATGGAGATAAGGGCAGAAAACCTTATTCTGTATGGATAGCCAACTGTTCCAACAAGTTGAATTTAAAAGAGCACAAAGCAGGACACAGTGGCTCATGCCTATAATTTCAGCTACTTGTGCAAGATGAGGAGGATCATGTTTGAAACTAGCCCATCAGAAAGTTAAGGAGACTCCATCTCAATAACTGGGCATACTAGTACATGTTTGTCATTGCATCTACATGGGAAGTGTAAATAGGATCTAGGTTCAGTTCAGCCTAGGCAAAAATGTAAGACCTTATCCCCAAAATAACTAAGGCAAAAAGGGTTGGGGGTATTGCTAAAGAGCACCTGTCTAGCAAGCAGGAGACCCTGTGTTCAACTTCTGATACTACCAAAGGGAAATGAAGCTGACATTCCTACTTACACTTATCATAAATCAAATGATTGTTTATGTGCGAAC